GCCCCGGATTGATTCCGTCACCTCCCGGAGTCCGAGTTTTCCCATTCAGAACATGGGGGCAGTCCTTGTCTTGCTTCTCTCAAGGCCGTGGGGGGAAGGGCTGGGAACTCTTGTCTGATGCCCTAGGTTCCTGTCCTTCTCTAGGCCTGCTGGTTACCCATCAGTGAGCCTGGCATATAGCATAAATATAGCATACGCTTGCTGGGAGCAAATTTTTTTGTTTTTTTTGAGATGGAGTCTTGCACTGCTGCCCAGGCTGGAGTGCAGTGGTGCCATCTCGGCTCACTGCAACCTGCGCCTCCCGGGTTCAAGTGATTCTCCTGCCTCAGTCTCTTGAGTAGCTGAGATTACAGGCACCTGCCATTATGCCCAGCTAAGTTTTTGTATTTTTAATAGAGACGGCGTGTCACCATGTTGGCAAGGCTGGTCTCAAACTCCTGACCTCCTGATTTGCCCACCTCGGCCTCCCAAAGTGCTGGAATTACAGGCGTGAGCCACTGCGCCCGGCTGGGAGCAAATTTAAACATCAAAACATATAAGCAGGTGAGGCGCGATGGTATTGCCTGTAATCCCAGCACTTTGGGAGGCCGAGGCGGGTGGATCACTTAAGCTCAGGACCTTGGAACGAGCCTGAGCAACACACCAAAATCCCGTCTTTACAAAAAATACAAAAAGGCCAGAGGTGGTGGATCGTGCCTATAATCCCAGTACTTTGGGAGGCCAAAGCAGGTGGATCACCTGAGGTCAGGACTTCAAGACCAGCCTGGCCAATATGGCAAAAACCCGTCTCTACTAAAAATAAAACAATTAGCCGGGCATGGTGGTACGTGCCTGTAATCCCACCTACTTGGGAGGCTGAGGCAGGAGAATTGCTTGAACATGGGAGGTGGAGGTTGCAGTGGCTGAGATCGCACCATTGCACTCCAGCCTGGTTGACAGAGCCAGACTCTGTCTCAAAAACATCAACAACAACAACAACAAAACCCCATAGGCAGCAGATACTCGGCTGAGCTGGTATGCCCATGTTGGTGATTCTTCCCATCTTCTTTAGTTGCTATAGATGGAGTGCATTCACTTGCTTTAATCACATTCAGGTGGGACTCTTAGCTTCCGCATTTCCTCTGTGCTGTCAATTCTTTAAAGATTTTTCTGATGCCTCCTTTGGTGTTACTCTGTTCCTTCCCTTCCCTCATTGCTGGATATCTACATTAGGTTCAGGTTACTGTTGTAAGATGAGGCTACTCCCAGTTTATGAATGGGAAAACTGTGGTGAACATCTTTTGATGACAATCTGCGTCAATTTAGGGATAATTTTATATGCGGATGGTTCTCTTCGGTTGTGTTATGAGACCAAAGGGATTCTCTGTGTTAGAATGTTTTCATTGGTGCCTTCTTTTGCTGCACCCGTGCCTTTGCCCTTTCGTGAATGTGCTGCGTCCGAGTTCCACTTCCCTGAATTTGCTGCTCTGAACGCAGTGCAAGCTAGGACACACGTAACTGCCTTTGTTAACTGTTGAGATACAGCTGCTGGGCTCGCGCGCAGGCCTGAGGTGCGGAGGTTCGCAGAGGCTCCTCTGGCTGTTTGATGCTTTTCCATTTCGGTGCCTCCAGCTGCCCTGTGTGTGCCTGAGGTTGCTGACCCCCAGCCATCTGGGCTATTCCTGCCTTCGTTTTTTTTTTTCCCTCATACTGCTCAATTTCCAGAACCAACAAGAGAAACCTCAATTCCAGGCATCGTGTCCTAAAACTGAGAAGTCCCAACTCCATGGTTAAGGAGATGACACTCCGAGTTATGGAGGCCGAGGGGATCTGCTTCTTCATGGGCTACTGAGAGCCGCTGGGCCAGAGGGAAGCTCTTCTGAAATCAGTTAATGCTTCTCAATCTGCCTCTGCCCCATTGGGATGGACCCATTGCCCAGTTAAGCTCCTTGTGTGTGACAGCTGCTATGACTTTTATTCATGCTGTGACCCCTGGTGGCTCCGAATGGGAGCTGGGGTAAGGGGATTGGGAGGGTGGAGACTGGGCAGCAGCTTCTGGACTGGAGGGTGGGGGGCAGAGCTGGGAGCCCTGGGCTGCGTGGCCTCACTGCCCAGCGCCCGTTTCCTTGCCTGGAAAATGAGAGTCCGTGTGCCAGCTTGGCAGCTTGTGCGGATCAACTGTGGTAACGGAGGTGAATCAGCCAGCACAGCCCAGGGCACCTGGGATGACTCCAGGTAATTCACACACCCATTGGAGCTCACATCTTAGGGGCTGGGGAAGAGCTGGGGCAAAATGTGTGTTGGGGAAACTAGAAAGACCCCCCCATCTCTTGAGACGGGGGAGCGTGGCAGGGTAGGAGGCCTCTGGCCTCACTGTATGCACACCTCCCATCCCCCACCCCACCCCAGCTTGGGTCATTCCTCACACCTCTCTGTGGGCCTCAGTTCTCCCTCTGAATAGTCAGAGGAGACTTGATGCTAAGAATCCTGCCAGCTCTGACACCTTGTGATGACTCTCCTGGGACATGCATCTGGTCAGATAACCATTTTCTTTGCAAGGGGACAAGCTGCATTTTTCTTTTTCTTTTTTTTTTTTGAGACAGGGTCTCGCTCGGTCACCCAAGTTGGAGTGCAATGGTGTGATCTCGGCTCCCTGCAACCTCTGCCTCCCAAGCTTAAGTGATCCTCCTGCCTCAGCCTCCCAAGTAGCTGAGACTACAGGTGTGCCACCACGCCCAGCTAATTTTTGTATCTTTTTTTGTAGAGAGGGGGTTTTGCAACCATGTCACCCAGGCTGGTCTTGAACTCCTGGACTCAAGGCATCTGCTCACCCTGGCCTCCCAAAGTGCTGGGATTACAGGCATGAGCCACCACCAAGCCTGCATTTTCACGATGCCACATATGTCTGTCCTGGAAGCCCTGAAACAGCAGGAGTTGTGGGCTGTGGGTCACCCTGGTGTCCCTACCACCAAGCAGGAGCGGGCACCGAGCGGATGCTCAGGACTGGCTTCCATAGACACTGAACACCCTGGAAAAGGCATTCCCTTGCCCTGCTCCAAGCTGAGCTGGCCCCTCCTGCCTAGCAAGCTTCGGGAGGCTCTGAGGTCAGGCTGGAAAAGGTCCCTCGATGGGTGTCTGAGGAGAGGAGGGGTGTGCCAAGAGCTCTCCAAACATGCTAGCAGAAACTTTCATTTCACTTAGACTTGCTTAATCCTCACAACTCAACTTGGGAGATGGAGGCGCCACGCTTGTTGTACAGATGGGAAAGCTGGGGAGGAGCAGGGAAGGCTTCCTGGAGACCTGAGGAGTTAGCCAGCCCTGGGGCTCCCATGCATAGGTCCTGTGCCTGGAACTGATGAGAGGGAGCTAAATGGCCTGGCTCTTGTCCACACTAAGTGATGGCTTTAGTAGGGAGAGAGAATCCTTCTGGAAACCTCAGGTAGAGTCTGCATGGGGAATGAAATGGCTTTATCTAGCCAGTTATGATGGGGTTTGATGGCTAAGGACCAGTTAGTAGGCAGCAGAGCTGAGATCCAAGGCTGACCGCCTGGTCCCAAAATTATCTGCGCATCAGAGATGGGGGTGAGCAAGGTGCCGGGGTGTGATATGACCACACACAGCCACACGTCTAAATCCTGTTCACTGTGTTCTTAATTTTGTGAGACTCAAATGCAATGAAGATTTATCTGTAACACTTCTGGGCGCTGAGGGCAAGAGGTAAGGTGTGAGTCAAATCACGTTGTGGGTGCAGGTGACGACAGGCTCCCGGAGAGATGGGGTGGGCACAGCATGATGGCGAGTGAGGAAAAGGCAGGCAGAGGGCGCCAGGTGCAAATCTGCAGGACCACAGACTTTGGTTCTGGATACAGAACAATGGTTCCTTGTCATTGTAGGGTTTTAGACCCTAAGACTGAGAATTAGGGCTGGAAGGGATTTGGGAGCCGCAGGCAGATCTATTAATCCAACGCATTAAACTGCTAATTAAGTCACGACTGAAGCAGTCTGTACTTTTCCATTAGGATTTACTTAGAACAAGCTGGGGAGGCCTTGTTTTAAGAGGTATGAAGGAGGCCTCATATTATTTTTACTTAAAACCCCCAGAAATGTAAGCATTTATAAAAGTTCTATTATGCGGCACTGCAAGGGAGTTTAATGTTTGCTTTCAAGAGACAGCCTTTAAAAATCTCTCTCGCTTCTGCGTCATATCTTATAGGTGCTGAGGGTCTTTACAGCCATGAGCTGAAGAGGAGACGCAAGTACGGGGTTCCCTAGCCCATCCCTAACGACCGCAGCGGAGACAAATCTTCCATTTCATGCTTCCAGATGCTTCCTGTAATGGGGAAACTCCTCCTGCCTCTGACTTTTCTGAGCAGCTGAGTCTTCCCTTAGATTGGGCTGTCATCAGTCTCTCCAGGTTTCCTCTCTGGCAATTTATCTGCCAATGACAACCCTCAGGGCTCCTGGTTGGCAGGAGCCAAAGCTGAGTGGAAACCCAGGCCTTCTGGCTCCCAGCCGCTAGGATTTCTCCTCTTGCCCTCAAGTCCCCAGAATCTAAGGACAACCCAATAAACAGATATCTACTATTTGCCAGGCCCAGGGAAAAGAGCGGTAAACAAGATCAGCCAGGCTTGCCGCACGGAAACCACAGCCTAGAAAGGGAATGAAGACCAACTGCCCGTCCACAGGGGCTTCTCACACACTCTCCACCAGGTCGTGGATCTGGGGCAGGGAACCCGGCTTCTGCCCCTTTAAGCTACTGACCCACGCGGGTCCTTGGGCGGAGGGCTTCATCTCTGAGTCCGTTTCCCGCTTTGTACAACGGCTCTGTTCATAGATACCGCTTCTGGAGTTTGTGCAATGCTGAACCCAAATATGCACATAACGCCAGGACAGTGGCTTCCAAACCTGAGTCCACATCACACAGCTTCCCAAACTCACGATGCTTCCATCTCATCTTCCGGGGCTGTGACTTAATTGGCCTTGGGGCGCGGCCTGAGCTTCGGAATATTAAAAGCTCTGTAGGCGATGATGAAGTGCAGACCAGTTTGGGAACTACAACGCCAGGCACCCCGTCAAAGCGCGAGAAGAGAGAACGTTCGGAAAAGCCCTTTACAAATTAAGAGACTGAGGCTGGCTGGGAGGACGCCGCGGCACCGCTCCCAAGGCCACCGCGGCGGGGCCTGAGCTCCGGTCTCACGCAGACCTTCCCTTCCACGGCGGGGCTCGGGCCGTCTCCCGCACACCGGCCGGGGCAGGGGCGCCCATCGATGCGCTCCGCCGCTCGGCTCTCCACGCCTGGGCCCTGCCCGTTCGAGCCCCTTCCCCCTCCCGGCCGCTTCCCACTTCCAAGATGGCCGCGGGTGGAGCCGACCAGGTAAGGGGGCCCCTGTCGGATGTCCGTGGGGGCTCTGCGGACACAAAAGCTCACTCAAGGCAGTCCCTCGCCACTCCAGCTGGTCCTCGAGAGAGAAAAGGGCCGGCGACGCCGCTTCGGAGGCCCGCGGCAGGCGATCTCTGGAAGAGGGACAGCCGGGAAAGCGCCGAGCTCCAGACGCGGCGGGACGGGCGGAAGAGCAGGCGCGGGCCGGCAGGGGGCGGGGCGCGAGTGCGTGGGGGGCGTGTTCAGGGGCGGGGAGGGGCGGGGAGGGGGCGGGGCGAAGGGGAGAGCGCGCGCCGCTGTTCGCCGCGGGCGGCTCGCGCGCACCTGCGGGCTGGACCCGCTGTCTGACGCGCGCCGGGCGTCCTCGCCGTGCGAGTTGCGCGTCCCGCGCGGCCTGGGCTGCTGGCCCACGGGTCCCGGGGATGGCGTCGGAGCCGCGCTAACTCCGGTACTGAGGGCCTCCCGCGGGGGCCGGGCCTCGGGCCGCGAGGGAGGGGAGGGCGCTCGGGGCCGCCACCTGCTGCAGCGACGGCCGGGGCGGGGAGCGGCCGGGACGAGGAGGGTCGCCGGCGCTGCTCCTGCTGGGCGCCCCTCGCTGCGCGGCCGCGGCTCCTGCACGCCAGGGCAGCACTTGCGTGGCGCCCGGGGGGGCCCTTTTGCGGGGCCGCCGGGGCGGGGGGCAGCAGTCGAGACTCGGCGGCCCTCGCGGAGGCGCGCGCTGTGCCCGGCTCCTTTCCGGAACTTGACGAAAAGTTTTCCTCCTCCGACGCCGGGCTTCGGACCCTAGAGGAGGCGGCTGAGTGGGCTAGACCCCGACCCCAGAGCCCCCTTCCACCTCGGACCCTCAGTCCCTGGGCAGCGGACTCTCTTCCCGGGAGTCCCGTACCCCCGTTTCATCTCGGACCGCTCTATCTCTGGAGCCCCTGGCCTCCGGAACCCCCTTTCATTCGAAGTCCTGACCTCCTTGGACCTCAACCTCGCCCGAACCCCCTGTCCCTGGGTCAGGGAATACCTCTGCCTCGGAGCCCCCCATTCCCAGGCCGCGGAGACTTTGGCCCGGGGACCTTCGCTGGGCGGGGACAGCTGCCTTGAGGAGTGAATCCCGGGACCACGGACCCCCTCTCTCCAGGAGTCTCTCCAGGCTGTGGGGCGCGGCCCTGTTGGGGGCGGCTGGTCAGGAGAATAAGGGAATGGCCCTGCGGACTTCAGATCCAGCCACCGCGAGGCCCGGGCAGTAGGCATTTTAGTAACTGCGCCTGACCAGACCACGTGAACCTGTTTCTGTCTTAAAGTTGCACAGGACTCCGTTTTCTTCAGCTTGGAATTGGAAGCTTTGCTTGGGAAGGTGCATTTGGCCCCTGGGCATCAGCTTAGTTATTTCATACACTGAGGCTAGCTGAGGAGGGTGGCCGTGGTGGTGTCTTGGGGACCAAATGCTAACTCTCCTGTCCCCAGTATTGCAGGATGTTGGCACCCAGTTGCTGTCTTGCCTGGCTTTTATAGAGGTGGGTTGCCTGATGGAAACTGGTATTTGCTTTGCCTGGTCTCAGCTCGTCGTTACAGCAGCCTTGGAACACTTCCTGTTGCCCAGTTGATCTGGCCAGTATCAACCCATATCTCAAGTTTGGGTTTGGCCTCCCTCTCTGACCAACCCTCTTACTGCGTCTTTGCTGTGTGTTTGGCCCCTTGAGATTGTGGGCTCCACAGCGCTAATGAGATCCCAGTCCTAAGAAGAGCCTGGCATGAACTTGGTGTTTGGGGTCATTGGGCGAAAACACCTTTTAGGAGACATAAAGGGTGTCAGCTGAGACTAGGGAGACAAAGTAACTGGCTTGTAACCACCCAGATGGGGAGAGGCAGAGATGGGATTCACATTGAGGCCGGCTGCTGGGCCAGGCTCTGCTTGCCTCTGTGGCCTCCGCTGTCCCAGCACTTCGCGCCGAGCTGGGCTTGATTCCTGTTGGTACAACTGTGTGTTCACCATCTGCCCACAGCCTACCCTCTCACATTTAGCTTGGGTGCTGCCTCGCCTGGCTGCTCCTGTTCCCCCATGTTCCTTTAGCCCCTGCAGTTCGTCCCCATTGGGTGCGCTGTCTCCTGCCCCACTCCCCATTTAGGGGGTGAATTCCTGTCTTTCATGCCCTCACCTTCCCTCTACTGTGGTTGATTTCTTAGCTGGTGCTTTGTAGAAGGCGTCTCTGAAAGTGAGGACACAGCTAGTCAGAGCAGCTTGTTTGAATCTCTCTCCTATGGATGTCCCCAAGCCTCAGCACAGGGGAGGTTGGGGGTGCTTTGGGGAGTCTTTGAGACCTTGGAAAAGAGTTGTCAGTGTAAACATTAATACGTAGAGAACACGAGAGGATTTTAGGAAAGTGAGTATGTGTTTGTTAACTTTAAATTTTTTTTTTTTTTTTTAGAGATGGGGTTATGCTATGTTGTCCAGACTGCATCTGAACCCCTGGGCTCAAACGATCCTGCGGAGTAGCTGCAATTGTAGGCACACATCACCATAACCGGCTTAACATTTGTTTTAGGACTAGGTATAAAGAGCGTTTCTTGGACCTGGGTGGTTTAATATTCTTTATTGTCCATCTGGAAGGCTCTCAGGGACTGATGAGCTTGGCTAGTCACTTGATTTTATAGATGGGGAAGTTGAGGCCCAGAGCTTCGTCAGTATCACATGGCAGGTGTGGGAAGAGAGACTGGTGACAGGAAGAAGCTGTGCATTGTGGCCTTGTAGACACACACTGGCTGTGTCTGGCCTTGCTTATGCAAATCGTTGCTAAAATAGTGGGGCTGAGTTGGCTGGCCCTATCGGTGGCCAGGAAGGAATAACACCAGCCAGCATTTCCTAAGGCTTACCTGTGCCAGGCACGATTTTAAGGGCTTTATGTGGATTTCTTCCACTAATCTTGTCAGCTGCCTAACGAGATAGGGTCTCTTATTGTCTTCATTTTGCTGCAAGGAAACCAAGGCACAGGGAAGTTAAGAATCGAGTCCAAGCTCACACAGCTGGTCAACAGAGGAGCTGGGATTCGAACCCAGGCAGTCGGCTGCTGGAACCCTGCATTATTTTTTCCCTCTTGTTTATTTTGTTATTTTGTTTAGTTTTTGAGACAGAGTTTCGCTCTTGTCGCCCAGGCTGGAGTGCAATGGTGGAAGATCTCAGCTTATTGCAACCTTCACCTCCCGGGTTCAAGCGGTTCTCCTGCCTCTGCCTCCCGAGTAGCTGGGATTACAGGCATGCTCTACCATGCCTGGTTAATTTTGTATTTTCAGTAGAGACGGGGTTTCACCATATTGGCCAGGCTGTTTTTGAACCCCCAATCTCAGGTGATCCACCTGCCTCGGCCTTCCGAAGTGCTGGGATTACAGGAGTGAGCCACCACTCCCAGCCTATTTGATTTTTAAAACTTCATTTGAAGCCTAACATACATACACAGACATGTAAGAATGGTTAAGTGTTCAGCTTATTGATGATCAGGGTTGTTGGGTGAAAACACCTGGGCAATATTAAGGGCGCTGAGAGGAAGGCAGTTAAAGATTAGGGGTGTGTTTGTACGTACTCCAGCAGGCCGTGTATGAGCCTTGATGTCAGATCTGGTTTGAACTCAGTTTCTCTTGCCATGTGACCCTGGGTGAGTAACTTAGCCTCTCTGAATTTCACAGTTTCTTCTTGAAAGAAGAAACTTGGCAGGCTTGTGATTATTAGAGCATATGATGGCACCCTGCATGTTTGGTGCATGCTGAATGCTCAGTAAATTGTTTCTCTTATTAATAATTAAGGTTATAAATTATACAGGCTTTAAGTAGTTTATCTTCCTAATGTTTCTTTTGCCTCCCAGTCACTTCACAGGTACTTAGGAAAATTAGTTAATTAGTAATTTACCAAATCATTAAATGAAGCTGAAACATTTTGCATTGAAATTCTTTAAATTGTCCTGGCTGGGCATGGTGGCTCTTATCCCAGCAGTTTGGGACGTTAAGGGGGGTGGATCTGGGCAGCATGGCGAAACCCTGTCTCTACCAAGACAAAAACGAATTTGCTGGGCAGGCATGGTGGCGTGTGCCTGTGGTCCCAGCTACTCTGGATGCTGAGGTGAGAGCCTTGCTTGAGCCTGAGAGATGGAGGTTGCAGTTAACCCAGATCACATCACTGCATTCCAGCCTGGGTAACAGAGACACCATCTCAAAAAAAAAGTTTAACCTGTGCCTTCCATAACCAGTGGTCAGTCTAAGTTAAAGTGTCCACTCATTAGGGTTGTGAAGGAGCCTTTGGAGACCTGAACAATAGTCAGTTTGTGCCTGGTTTGCTGAAACATTCATGGACTGAAACTTATTTAAACAGCGTTGTATTAAGTGACAGGTTCCTGAAAGTTGCCACCACTCAGGCTCTGGAGGAATATATGTGAAATTCTAGGAAATTCTTTTCTGGACCGTTTTTATCCGAAAGAATCACCCATTTAAAAGCCAAACTAGGCTGGGCGTGGTATTTCACATCTGTAATCCCAGCACTTTGGGAGGCTGAGGCAGGCGGATCACCTGAGGTCAGCAGTTCGAGACCAGCCTGACCAACATGGAGAAACCCCATCTCTAGTAAAAAATACAAAAATGTAGCTGGGCATGGTGGTGGATGCCTGTGATCCCAGCTACTCAGGAAACTGAGACAGGAGAATCACTTGAACCCGGGAGGTAGAGGTTGTGGTGAGCCGAGATCGCACCATTGTACTCCAGCCTGGGCAACAAGAGTGAAACTCCATCTCCAAAAAA